GATGTTATACATAAGATGTGTATCATTATTTTTACATCCATAATTATTACAACCATTTTAAAGAGGCCATATTATGCTTCTTGAGATTTTCCCTCTCCTTTAGTGTGTTGTATAGGTTTTAGTGCATGTAAATGGTCTGCAAAGGCAAAAATCCCTTCTTCAACTGTACGTGACAGGCTAAGGGGCGGGACATCTCTAAGCCGTTGACCAATCACAACAGACACGGACAGTTTTTTAACGTTAAAGGTCCCCTATCATACTGTTTTTCATCAATAAATCACAGGTCTCAGATATATACAGAGCCTGTCTCTGATTGGCTGAAACACCAAACAGATCATTGCAGCATTACCCATAATCCCCTCTGTTTCAGCCCTGTTTCCAAAGTGCTGATTCTCTGTCTGTTACTTTAGATGAAAATAAGGAGCCCCTCCCCACGCCCCTCTGAGAGAGATTTGGTTAAAAATAACACATTAGCCGCTTTCACACCAATTACTTTGCCGTACTTAGTTCCCAGCACTCAGTGCCCCCATGGAACTAAGAGCAGATCGCGTTCACACCGGAATAAGTCCCTGAGGGAGGATTAGGCAAATGAGCCGCTGACGTCACTTCGTCTTCTTCTGCTTTGGGTTTACTGGCAGGCCGCAAACAACTTCACGGCGTATACTGCCACCCGAAGTCCCCGACCTGAAGTCCCCGGAGTTGGGAACTAGCTTCAGTAGAAGCTGCTGGGACTCCCAGGATGTAGAAGAGACATGAAGAAGAGGGGACACATGTTGATGTAGAAGAGACATGAAGAAGAGGGGACACATGTTGATGTAGAAGAGACATGAAGAAGAGGGGACACATGTTGATGTAGAAGAGACATGAAGAAGAGGGGACACATGTTGATGTAGAAGAGACATGAAGAAGAGGGGACACATGTTGATGTAGAAGAGACATGAAGAAGTGGATTTTGCATAATAGGAGACCTTTAATTAAGAAATAACCTGGTGCACTTATAACTGGTCACAATCAGGCAGTAATCCCTTTTTTCTGGCCTCTTTAAACGCTTAACCTTATTTTATTAATTCGTAATTTACTGCCAGATGAATCCCATTGACTTATATCAATAAATAAATCAACATTTTGAATCTGTGCAACAAGTGTGAGCCGTCAGCAGTTTAACCAAATAGCGATTATTGCTTCTTCTTCTTCTTGTTTCATTTGACACTTTTCCAGAAGCTTTAAGAGGAGGACTTGTCCAGTATTTAAGTAGAAAAGAGCAAAGATTAGAGACGGTCATCTGGTTGGATTTTAAAAGGATAAATATTTAGGATTTCCGTTTTATTTAACCATACCTGAGGGGCGTTATGATCATGATGACAGACGAAAGCTTCATTTAAATTAAACACAATCCAGATTAATGTTGAGGTTTACTTGTTTTAAAGCAAGATAAGCAAGGCGGCTGACCTATACTTGAACTAAAATAATGTATATGTTTTTATATGTCCACAAAGAGGATTTTGTTTTCCTACTGTATGTAGAAAATGTACTTAGGATGCAATCTATAATCTCTATTATGAACCTGATTATGGGACATTTGGAAAATGTCATAAACTGAGTATTTAAAATTCAGGAAAGGGAAGATATTTGGGGGCTTTTATTAAGAAATCAGCAGGGTTTTGCAAAATATCCACCTATTAATACATCAGGTATGTCCCTAATAATGTAGATACATGAATGTCCCCCAGAGGAAGAAATGCATTGGATGGTGGAGCTCGATGAATTGTGAGAGGATCATCAAAGTTATTACAGCTCAACCCTCAGGAGAACATGCATGTTTGCACCAAATTTCACGGCATTACATCCAATAGTTGTGGAGATATGTTTGACTAAAACTCAACCACTTGATCCTCAAGATCCTCCTCAGGCTAGCAGGAACAAATAAACAAACTATTTATTTGGAGTCTAAGACCCCATTTACACGCAAACGAATACGAAACGCAAACAAACCGAATACGATATAAAAAAAGTCTTCCGTTCACACGAGACCGCTCGAACCGTTGGAGACGCTGTAGTACATATGCCGGGCCTGTAAGTGGCGCTGTACTGTCGCCACAAAATACACCAAAAGTAGCGAAGAAGACCCCGAGCGTGGTTGCCATGGTTGCCCTTCTGTTTATGCCCCGCGGTGGATTTAGCAACATGTAGTTCAGGTAATTCTCCATGTCCACTTGTTGCTGATGGTTGTGGTAGAGGAGCTGTAGATTTCTGCACTAACATCTGTAGCTTGGTCAGTAGCTACTGACCAAGCTACAGCAGTGAGCAGCAGAGGTGGGGCTATGGCTTCATCGTTATCAGGAAATGATCGTATAGGGCATACACACTGAGCCATTTGCCCCCAAGAGCGTTCCTTTTGCAGATCTATCCACCTTGGGACCCGTTATTGTTTGCGGGGTCCATTTCCGCGGTTCCGTTACGGCCTTGTGTGAACGAGAGAAAAGTAACAGATACAACCCGTTTTGTTCTCGTGTAAAGACCGCCTTAAACCAATAAAATACATCCAGGAAGCATCGGTTATATCTGGTTTAAAGGATACGTGTTCCGTTGATACCGGAGATCTTGAAGTCGTCCACCATCTGCACCACCATCTCCCGGTTAGGGTCATTAGGGTCTGAGTTTCTGACCTTGGAACAAAGAGACAAAACAATGTAATCAAAGGATCAACACTGACCAACATTATGCAGGATGATGCAGGATTGGCATGCATTTCTGTGTATGTGATGTGTCATCATGTAATACTACTTGAACATACCAGCCTTTGCCTAGTGTTGTTACACAGTACTGTATGTGAAGTCACACATTATGTAAAGTCTGTATTGGTTTTCAGTGCGGGAAGGACCCTGTTCCCCTTGTGTTATCATGAAATGGGTCTGCCTCGACATCATCATTTGTGTACAGTTATTGTGCTTCCTAACTCATAAAACCTTCTGTGTGCATTGAACTCACAGATCTGAGGAGTTTGATCTCATCCACTGCGGTCTCAGTGTAGTGCTCTGCGCTCTTCACCACCTTCATTGCAACAAACCTCTTCACCCTGAAACCACAAAGAAAGTGACATTTACTAACAGGAAGCACTGTAAAAGTCATGCCACAACAGTCTCAGTCAACTGCTCCTAAAACTGTATCCAAATGCAGGCCTCAAAAACAAAACCGTGCAGTAAAGAAATGCACAAAGTGTTTTTCTCGTACTGGACGTCCCAGGCGAGCCACACGGTGGAGAAGTGTCCCCATCCCAGTTTCCGGATAACATGGTATTTTCCGTTGTAAAGGTCTCCCACTTTCACACTGTGGTAGCCACCTGAAGAGGATAAAATGAATTATGGCAAGACGGGTCAGACAGGCTTAAGATAACCGGGTTATTTCAGTTAAATTAAGGCAACACATTGGAAACCTAAACCTTGCAAACTCTTGAGCAGAATGTTCTTGAGTGGTAATTCACAATGACTGGGTTCTAGTGTGCAGGTATAAATACTGAGTAGGCAGGGACTCACCTTTGCAGTAGTCATTGGGGTCCTCCTGCTCCTCATCATCAGAGCCCAGGATCTCCTCAGGTTCCTCGGGTTCCTGCGGCGAGGCTTCTTGCTGGGTCAGCTGTCGAGCTCTGGTAGTGGGTGGTTGTCTGGTGGACAAACACAGGGACAGAAAACATCTTAGACTTCACTCAAAAAGGTCCCCAACACATTCTTTCCTGCCTGAAAGACGGAAGCTGAGACAAAGATGGTTGATTTGTATCTGCTAAACAACACAATGCACAATAGCTTGCACATAAAAGAGACTATAAGCTACAACTTCAGCTATAAGAAGAAAACGAAGATTTTTCAGGTGGACCTGGCTTTGAACTGTTGAAGATGATTAAGTGTTGCATTTCCACATCTATATATTGTTTATGCGGAAGATGTGTTCTCAAACCCTTCCTTCTGCAACAGATCCTCACTCCTCTTTCCACAGCTATCACACACACAAATATCTGAAATATTAAGAGAGATCTTTGCTGCAGGGCATATTTGTTCTTAATGCAACGCTATGCAGTTGTCAACACGTCTAAAAAAGATTGGCTGTAGTAAATCTTAACGTAGTCCTATTTTAGGTTAAGTGTACACTGCAACTTTCCTGTTGAGGAAAATATAAAGCCATGTTGGATCAGGACCTCAGTTCTAGGTATTAATAGATTCTCTTTAACAAATTACCATACATATTTATATACAGTGGGGCAAAAAAGTATTTAGTCAGTCACCAATTGTGCAAGTTCTCCAACTTATAAAGATGAGAGAGGCCTGTAATTTTCATCCTAGGTATACCTCAACTATGAGAGACAGAATGAGAAAAAAAAAATCCAGGAAATGACATTGTCTGATTTTAAAAGAATTTATTTGCAAATTATGGTACTGTGTATTACTTATTTTCCACCATAATTTGCAAATAAATTCTTTAAAAATCAGACAATGTGATTTTCTGGATTTTTTTTCTCATTTTGTCTCTCATAGTTGAGGTATACCTAGGATGAAAATTACAGGCCTCTCTCATCTTTTTAAGTGGGAGAACTTGCACAATTAGTGGCTGACTAAATACTTTTTTGCCCCACTGTATATGCATCATAATTCAAAAGAGATTAGGGTACAAGCCTGTGTGTCAAGCAATTATAAATCTCAATTATTGTGTCATTATGTCGGTTTAAAAGATGGAAGAGACTAAGTAGATCTAGAGCAATACATAGAAGACTGAACAAATGTGGGTAGTAAAGCTAGGCTGGGGATGGTACTTTAGAAAATGTTTTGGAAATTCTCTCCACATCCTAAAAGCAAACCCTAAATCAAAAGCACAGACAAAAAATAGAATAATCTGGTATCTGTGTTGTAGGACTGAAATACGATCTGCTTGCCTACTGACCCAAGCTGCAAGTCAATCTCTCTGGCTTCTCAAACGTTTTGTCAGTGCTTTAATAAAAGACCTTTTAGAATTAAACTCAACATGTGGGGGATTTAACTTAGTACCTGAAAAAAACCGCGAGGTACGTGTTAGTACACAATAAATGTGTTTGCATTAAGCAAATTAATGAAAGTCTCTACATATTATATATTTTGATTTTAATAACAGTGTATTGATCTAGTAGTATATATTTTGAAAATATAAAAATGTATATTTGGGAAGGGGAATGTTTGTTTATGAGTTGCATTTCTCATTTGAAGTTTCATTAATTAGGTCATACAACTCTTTAAAAATATAACAGTAATGGCTTTTGAGCCAATCCAAATATAGTGTTTTTCACAGCGTATGTGAATGAAAATCCAGAAAATCTAAAAAACTAAATGAATTCAGTCTCACATTGGCATGTTAGCAATTTGTTTATGTATTTATGTATAACAATCCATAACCTTTGTGTGCTAACAGTTCAGTTCCTAATTTAATCTTGAAAGCCAAACAGCCTGATGTTACCTCCTCCACAGAGCAGATTAAGGCTGCTCATCACCACAGGAGCCAAGAGATCTTAGGTCACATTCTAATTCATTCCTAAACGGTCATTATTGTCTCGTCTCCATGTAAACTGAATACTACTTATTCACGTCTGGCAAAATAATTTGAAGCACAGCGATGTTAAAGCATGTTGCAAGTACTAATATATTACAACTGAATTGTAACTGCTATTCGTTTTATTTGAAATGCATTCATTCATTCATTAATCCTGCATTGCTTGTCATTTATAATACACTTTAAGGAAGCAATCAGAATTTGTACTAATTAATCTTCTCAATTCTCATATTCAGTCAGGGCTCTTTACTGACAATTGAAGAATTAGGATAGGAACCAAAGAAATATCATTACTTGAATTAAACAGCAGTCTAATGTATCATGAAAATAAAAATACTTATGGTGGGTCGTTTGCTAGGGAGCATCAGTTTGTCTGAAAGGTAAACTACGTGTCTAATAATCAAAATGTTGTGATGCCTGTTTCAGCCATAAAGATAATGCTGTCAGGACGTGAGTATCTGCATGCAATAGCAGTGCTGATTTCATTCAAACACCATGCTTCGGTGGGCTGATGTGGGCTTCTTCATTCTCTGGTTTTAAATATAGCTCAGGCTGTTATGTAAGTAACACTCCGGAGGATGCCACTGACAGCATGATTATTACATTGTTAGGTACACAAAAACATTAGTATAGGAAATCAACCCTTGAGGGGACTATTTTGGGCCCTAATATTATTTTAATGCAATCATTCATAAACTATTTTCATAGCCAGATAGCTTTCAGATGGTTTATTTCAGGCAATGCATACTGCACGTTCTACTTATTAAAATAACTGCACAGATCAATAATGCTAATGCCCTTACTTGAACCCAATGAGAACATGGAAAGCTATAGAATCAAACCAGAGTCCTAGACCTTATTCTTACACCTCTATATTCTTGGATCATGCACGAACCAAAAATAAATTGCAAGCATGCAGTCAAGGCCCTTGTGTCAGTTTCACATGTGAACGTCTGGACCATGTGCATGTGTCCAACTGCAACAAACCACCTCTGACTAAACTGACTTAATGCATGCCTGTATGTAGAAAATAATGATCGACTTTATATGAGGGTTTAAAATAACTCACTTTTTGCTGGTCTTCTTGGCTTTCCCTCTCTTCTTCCTCGCCTGGAGTGCTAGAACTGTCAAAAGAAACCATTGGCCAGTTATCTTGCATTGTCTTGCTGCGGTTTGTTGTCTACTTGACACTCAACACAAAAAAAAGAAGAAAGGATGACAGTGTCTGAGGGAAATGGTACCACTACCTCATCATGATTATACTTATACACCCAGACATTATACACTGAATTATGTCATACATGCGACTACTAACATCTAAATCACAATTGCGGTGCGTCTGTCTAATCGCCGTCTGACGTTACATCCCTAGGCTACCCACATAGGTACCCGTTCCCCTAAAAAACACTGTAACATTAAGGATAGTACATCAGGAAGTGATTTCACGCTTGTGGCTTATTCACACAATATCAACTGCTAAATATTGTCGGTTTTTTCTAGTTAGTTGCGTGTAAAAGGAAAGAGCAGGAGAGCTAAACGCAGCAACATAATCCTGACATGTCCCATTGAAGCTAACGCTAATGTCTAGAGAGCTAGCCGCAGCTCCACAGTGCGTGACAGACGCCTTACAATTAAACCCTAAGCAGCGAGGCTAAATTGTACATTTATGACCGCGGGGGAACACACACTGCAGTTTCAACAGACACACGGGATATCATTGCTCTTACGATGTACGGCGTGTCGTTGTGAAGGGTTACCTTTTCTCTCCATGTTGGCTGGACTCGTAGCTTAGCTGTTAGCTACACGACCAGTGATCGAATGTTCCACGCATGCGCACTGGTTCGTTTTGCTCAAGGGGGAGCTTCTCCACCTGAGCACCAGGCAATCTTTTTTATCCTTTTACTTCAAGCTGCAGGGCGAAAGTATCTTTAGGACTGCTTATTCTGCTTACAAATTAGACCAGTCATGCAAGTGCAACATATAAAGTTTAAAAGACACATAAACTCACTCCAAGCCTCAAAGAAAAAAAACACATAAGAAAACGATGCAATGATCGTTTATCTAGCTTTGTATTTTTTACCAGATGGTCGAATAAATAATGTTATAAGTCTTTATGAATCTATGCACTGTGTGAAGAGTTATATCATTAAAAATAGTATGGAATAAAACGTTTCAAATTTTGATGACATTTCATAACATTTAGCAAGGATACCTTAAGATTGGCAAATAAAAAAATGTGACGAAGCTATGAACTAAGAGGGACCTTTTACACTGTCACAATAGTATGGTAATAATATTATCCTATTCTATTTTTTAATTATCATAACGAAACTTGGCCTTTCTTCTCTGTTATCTCTTGAGTTTATGGCCCGCGTGTGTAGGAACAATACTTTACCTCTGTTAGAGGTTATTATGGTCTATAAACCAGGGCGGAGGATCATTTTAGCATTATGTTGTCAGCATCCTGTGTTATGAAATTGTGGAATGAGCATTTTACACTTTAAGAAACACATTAATATAGATTTCCTTTTGAACAAAGTGCTTCTTAGATATTTGTGATGTTATAGCCAATCTAAGGTTTTTCATTAATATTTGTAGTTTTTCTGTTTAAGAATGTTTTGATAAACAGGACAGACGGACCTAGTCGTCAATGTTTGTGCTTTAAAGTCAAAATATGCATGAAGTAAATGTGGTGCACGTCATACATTATCAATATGCAAGTCTCTTAGTAAAAAACCCAAAAAACACTTAATTAAGTAAGTGAAATCACAGAAAATTGGCACTAGAATAGTAAATAAAAGGTTGTTTGGACAACAGAAAACCAACAAAAAACTGATAAAAACAGAAGGTCTCTTAAAAATAAGTCTTTATTTTGTTAAACAAAGGACTGACGATAGTAGTTACTCTGCTGGACTGAAAATAGTTTAAGGGATCTTTCGATTGTTGTTTTATAAATATCACCTCCACAAAGTATAAATACGTCTGAAATCCCTCTCATACACATTAATGCAGAATTTATATTATAGGTTTTAGCATGACATTTACATTTCCTGTAAACCAACAAAACACTCTCGCAAACGCACACAAATTCTTTGACTGATGTACATACTAGTGATTGCTTTATAAGATAAGCACAATAAGTCTGATTCTTTAAAAATAACGCACAGATATTTACATCATATTGAGTAGAGCATGTACCCTTGAATATTTTTTTTCCTACTTAGGTGCTTTGTTGAAAAGCACGGTCTTTAAACAGCAGAGGCTCAGTTTTTTCTGTGTCGCCAAAATATCTGTAAGAGTCTCACGGAGCATCTAAACTATCAAAATAAACATTCAAATGTGTGAAATTCAGTTGGTGAGCACTGAAGGTCAGTGACTACACAAACAGTCACATTCTCAAATACCTAAAAACAAATCTACTTCTGTCACAGATATGAAACCCTTACGAGTTGTTTTTTTAAATATATGAACAATTACCATAACTGAATAAGTTTACAAATACATGTGACCCAGTGCTATATGTGACAGCTTGGCATGGCAAGTGGTAGAATAGCATTTCCCTTTTACAAATGATGGACAAAGGAGCTTTTTCATAAGTTACTCAATAGAACATTTTAAAAACACAAAACAGCACAGCTATAGGTCCAGGTGTTTCAGCATCTCAGTGTCACAGTGACAAGTCATCAAAGTCTAGATTAAAAAATATCTGAAGAATATAAAATGATTTTCAGCTATTGGCAAGAAGTGACATTTCCCAGCAACAGACCATCAACATTAGTGGTTTATAAATAAGATTAATGATAAGCTCTTCCTTTCCCTGCGCTGATTATAATCTCCTTACAGGAGATAATTGTGGACAATGTTTTCTTGGCTAAAAAAGACCGACAAAGGCTGGCAGGCACTCTGATACAAGCATGTCTGAGGGTTGGTTTATCACTTATGCTCATGTTCAAGGTGGTTACGAGTTGACGCAGGCTGGACCCGATGTGGGTAGCTCTTTACTGCATGTCGTCCTCATCATAGAGTGGTGGCTCAAATTCACACAGCGCCTCATACGTTAATCCTGTAAGGAATGAGAAAATTGTTCAATTCAAAATCAGGGTTCTTTTTATTAACAGTATTAATGCTTTCCATGTGAAATAAGGACATACGTTTCCATTCTTCAATCCCCAGCTCGCGGGTCTCAAAGCTCTGGTCGTACGGCTCGGCCTCGGGCTCATCGTCCGGGTCGTGGTACTGAGCAAAGTACGGGTGAGCCAGAGCCCCGGCTGCTGTTATCCGCTTGTCTGTGTCCAGGACCAGCATTTTCTCCAGAAGGTCCACAGCTTTAAAATCATGAAATACAATGTTAGAATTACAAAATATAAATTTATTGCAAGTAGCAGGGCTGGCACCACAACACAATACTGCAGATATCTTGCATTACCTTGTGGATTGGCACCAATGAACACATCAGCAAAGTTCCTCTTGGGCATTTGAGGCAAAGAGCTGATGTAGTTCCTGGCCTGTAAAAAAAACAAGTGCAGTAAATCAAATGTCAGCTCCCACTAGCAGCAACATGTCTCCTACATTTTGATGCTACTGATTACGTTCAATGTAACCGCCGGCATCTAATTATTACTGCAAACCTCCCACATTCCCACCAATAGATGAGAACATAAGCCTGAATGTTTATATATATATATATTTAAGGCCCATAATTTTTGGAGATAGAAAAAATTGATGTTCACCCCTATTTTGTGTTTGACAACGCTCATCATTGCAATTTACAGTAAACACGGTCCTCTCTTGGATAGGAAAGGGTTGTTTGCCCAAGGCAGAAATTACGTTATAAACAACCTTTTTTATTAGAAATATTAGTAAAACACTTGATAGGTTTTAGTTAAAGTTACTAGCTGTTTCTCTGTACAGGGTTATTGACTACCTGAAGAGGGACAAAGGCAGTTAAAAACAGCTCGAGGCAAATATATGATTGACAGCCCAGGAATGTTGCCAGCGAGATGTCGAGGAAAACACATCGCAGTGTGGTGGATCTGGGTTTCCCTTTTCTTACAGTTAAACAAAGTTTGTGTGTATATTCAATTTTAATATATCCCATTACATTTTTTTGTACATTCTTCAATAACAAAACTTTATATATTCCACAAAAATGTATAACGGAAAATGATGAGCTCCAAATATCGTGTAAAGGAAGGACTCTGCTGTCTTGGTCTACTGTGTGAGACTCGACATACGTAACAAAGCGACAAATCATTTTATGTGATTAGTCATCATTTGTTTCCTGATAATACACCCATTAGTAACGCTAACCCTAAGCTCTGTGCTTCAGCCGCTGCTCTCTTCTATGCCTTTTATTGCATTTTCTTTATTTTATTTCATTTAATTTTTGAACACAGTCCAAACAGGGCTTTATACATTTTTTGGGGTTTTATTACAGGAGTTTTTAGTTTTTAAAAATATTTACCCGAGAGCCCGTTTCCCAAAACCCTAACCCTAGGGGGATTAATAAAGGTTCATCTTCTTCTTAACAAAAAAGATTAAGTTGCAGACTGGCAGTTATTCCATCTTTACAATGAAAAACAAAGTACATCAATTGCGCAAAAACATGTTGAGAGAAGCAAGATTTTTAGGAAATTTGCAAGAAAAAAAGAAAGAAACCACAGAACAAAGCGTCTTTCGTAGGAAGTGCAGTTAGTCACTACTGTATATAAAAGTAAGCCTAGCTATAACACTGTGCATGTTTTAAATCAGGACATTTAAATCAGGAGATTTTAACAATAACTGAGCAAAATGACAAGCATACAAATGCCTTTACCACTTCTGGCAATCACTGTTCGGTCTCATGCAACAAGCGTGTCAGACAGCCAACACACAATCACTGAGAATTCATCCTAAATCCTAAAAGACAGGCCGTGCTGCTCCGCAAACCCCACTTGACCAAAGTAGTCTAAATCAACCACGTGATGATGTGGTCACCATCACTGCCTTCTCATTAAAGAAGAAACAAAAAGGTGTATTTCATTTGATATTTATCTTTAAGGCTGGGTTACGTGGAGAAATCAAAATATCAGCTTACTTTTGATCGAATACGTCAATATGGATATTGCAACAATATTGTTGGGTTGACCACTAGTGCTTTCACAAATATTTGCTATTATAATTCTACACATTTCTTTGTGGAACAATATGGGGATAAATGAAGGATACTAAGCCAAGAGCTTCGTCACAAGAAAAGCGGTTGAGTTCTGACTGTCTTCCCGCCCGTCTGTTGCAAGGTCTAAAGAAAGAAACTGTGGATCCTGCTCACCTCATGGCTGGGCATCCTGCTTATTAGAGTTGCTGGGGGCGTTCCTGTTAGACGCATTATCTGCTGAAGCTGGTTTATATCTATGAAGCTTGTGTCAAGGGGAGTATAGCGACAGAGCGGAGTTGGTTAAGAAGCTGCTTTTCAATCTGACACTGTGGCGCTGAACTCTTGATGCACTGCAATGTTATATTGAAAAGCAAACTTCAAGCAATATGTGAGGAAAGAAAGTTAGGATTTAAAGGAAAAACACAAGAAAATACTTTGCAATACAGTCAGAGAAAGCCAGAGCTGTCATTGTAATCATATAATGAGACATTTAATTTAATTCAACCAGTTAAAGAGGCAGGTAGCAGGTCTCATTCCCACAAAGCTGAAGGTTGTAAAAACATGCTGTCAGTCAGGCAGCAGAAGCACCAAGTTATGCACAACAAAGTTGCAAGTTTGGAGCAGAAAACGGGTTAGAGAAAAACCTTGCATATCTTTGTGAACTCACAGAATCTGAAGATATTTTCATCAAG